GTGTGTGTGTGTGTGTGTGTGTATATATATATATATATATTGGTGTTGAAGACGTGTTTCGACTGGAATATAAAATAAAAAACCCACACATGCACCGTTCATAAGAGGTGTGCTCTCTAATATACGTACTTGGGCCTCTACCTGGAGTGGTTCCACCTGTAACTGCAATCGAATTTTAATCACATCTAAGGGAGCAACACACGCCCTTGATATGACACCCGAGAAAGCCCCGGCCAGCATTGCATCACGCGGCCTGACCTCGGGTTTTCTATGAGGAGGATCAGAAGCCTTGTTTTCCCTTGCCATCTTCACATCTTCAGTCATAACGCGGCCCACTGTGGTTGCAGCCTACCCTAACCTCTATTGTTATTTATGAGATTTGAGCCCATTTAGCATGTTCATTCGTAAATATATCTAAACGTCGTAAATATATCTAAACGCGCTATTATATGAACGGAAATTATGTTCACAAAAAGTGTTTTATTATTGTGCATGTGTATTTATCAAACTACAAATCAACATCCTATGATATTTGTCTATGCAAATATATGTCTTTTTTAGGAGACTAGGAAAGATATGATATATATATTTTATAGAATTTAATATATGTCTTGCAAAGTTCTGGCGAGGAAGATGTCATTGTAAATCTGATGACGATGTTTTCAGCCGCATTTGGAATTTTGGACAAGCTTTATAAACTTTTTTTGCATAGTTTTGCATAGCCTACTGAAAATTTTAAATTTCAGAAGGCTATGTTTTATGGTACATTTTTAAAAACAAAACAAAAAGTGGGCTAACTTGTCAATTATACATACAGTCAGACGTGGTTATTAGACCAATTCCGTTCCGGCCTAATTTCCGGACTGTTATCCAAAAGACTAGTCTCGTGACCTGTGATTGGTCGAGAGGTCATGGCTCAGTTTGACTGTAGTCATCCCATAGTGTGGTTTTTATGTCATATTATGTCTCAATGATTGTATCATCGCGTTCCTTACGGTGTTTTCTAGATGAAAGAAGTTTGTCATTATTTTCTGAGCCTTTGCTTCCATTATGAGTCTA